TCAGGGAGGAATCTGATTGGCCGTTGAAATGGCATGCGTAGTTCAATCTTAGCCACAATTCCTGGCTTCCGGCAACGGATTATCCCAGAGCCTCGCGTCCTTCCCGAGGATCGCAGGGTCGGGGAACGAGATTGTTGGTCACTAAAACAAGAAACTCGCCTTGGTGAAGCATAATGAAAATATACCTTTCGTGAAACAAGATTTCATTTAAGTTCTTTGTAGGTTTGCATGGCGATAAAACATATAATACTATTATTTGTGGAGACACCACGTAAATTTATTACTGCAAAGCTTTCGATCAGTAAGCCCGAACTTTTATCAGTGCTAATAATAATAATAATAATAATAATAATTATTATTATTATTTGCACTGATAAAGATCCGGGCTTACGGATCGAATGCTTTGCAGTATAAATTTACGTGCATGGTGTTTCCACAAACAATAGTATTATATTAAGATTTCATTTGGTCAGGAAAGTGAAAAATATCCTTTACGTTAAGTAAGATCATTTGTCCATGAAAACAAAAATTCGGTTTGGGCAAAGTCTAAAATAGACCCTTCAAGAAAGCAAACACCCTCTGGGTGAAGCGACATGAAACATTCGTTTGAGGCATCTAACTTTTATAGAGCGTTTGCACATGATGTCACAGCCGCCATATTGGTGTTCCAATTCAAAATAATTTTAATTAGATTCTTTTGTCTGGAACACCAACATGGTTGCCATGTCTTTTGTTGAGTTGGTCCCTGTGGAATGAGTGCAAAAGCTCTATAGCAAATATTCTCATTTGGAGTTTTACATCACAATACCAAATGCTCTGAATATTTACACAGATTAAGGGCGGGTTGTAGAAGGCCGGATAGCGGTATCCTCCAGTGGTGATTTTTCGCGTTATTCGTTGATTGACTGACTGGTGGATTTAAAATTAAAATTTATAATGTGAAGTCTTTTAAATCGGTCTTGTAGTTGGAAAAATTATCGAGCTGAGGATATTTATGTACTATTTAAAAAACGAGCAGGAGTGTTTTATTAGGTTTAAAGCCACGAGCGCGCAGCGCGAGTGACTTTAGACCTAATAAAACACGACCTGCGAGTTTTTTAAATGCTTCAAAAACATGTGCATAATAAGTCAAATCTTTGTATAAAAATCTTTATACAGGGTGTCTCAAAAAAAACCAAAATCATCGAAATTGACGTATTGTTCGATATTCAATGCCCTAGCACTAAGTTAATCCCACGAGTGCATAAAAGATTGACATAACTGCTATAATGAATGGTAATACT